AAAAATTCCCTGACCTTTGAAAAGAAACAGTCTTGCATGCCTTGATTGCGCGTGTCTTGGGAGGCTGGGGGTGCGAGTGGAACTGCGAGACAAAATCTCTTTCTTCTGTAGTGAGACTTTTTGCTCCGTGGCAGTAGGACGGTGCCAAATTTGTGGATGGCCTGTGCGCAGCACGCTTTCTGTTGTTCTGAAAGTAACTAAATGTCTAACTTTAACAACAGAACACAAATAACTGTGTTTGGTCATGTGTCTGCTGCTTTCTGGCCAGCCAAGATTGAGCGGCGTTAAGCGGCGAGAGGCAGCTGAGTAAGCTACTGATGGTGCTGTGCAGGTAAACAGGAAGTGACAGCGTTGGGCTTGCTCATCGACAAAAACCCGGAGTTGTGTATGTCATCTGGTAAGTGGTCTGCTATGCTGAGATAGCTTGGAATATTATAATCTGGAGCATGCTTGTGGTTACGGTTATGTCATACCTCTGGAAGGCTGAAGTTTTGCATGTGTTGTCTGCACTGAGGTTGTAGGATTTAAAAATAACCTTACTCTGTGTCTGATAAAAGCACGTCTCTCTTAATTAATCATGTGCTGTTTGATTTGGTTTTATAGGCTATGCTGTTTAGCCACATCTTAATTGTCGGTCTTCTGTGATCCTCAGTTGAGCAACGAGCGTTTGAAAAGGAGTTGGCCAGCTCTAGCTGAACTGGGTGGTTCTGGGAGGTACTGGAAGTGTAAATGAACTTGTATCTGAAGACACTCAGAAAAATGTGAGCTGTCTGTAACTGGTTGACTGAAGCTGAGGGGTGAAGGATTGCTTTGCTAGACAACTGCAGACTTAAGTCTGGACAAGCACTTTCAGAGTTTAGGTTTGTTAAACAGCAGTCACTTGTTTCATCTCTTTTTTGTTACAGCATCACTTAGTGATCACTGGTACCTTGTCAGCATCAGTAAAAGATCTGCAGTAGGGATATTGCAGCTGACTTATGTGCTGATCAGAACAAGGCAGGGAATCTAATCTTGGATATTAACTTTTTTTTAAATTGGTTTTGATCTCCTGATCCCTTAAATATTTTGGGCTATGTGTTGTATGGAACTGTCTTTTAACTTAGATTAAGATCCTCATGTTTCAGAAATTATAGGAAATACCTGCAGCAGTTTTTTGCTATTTCAGAAAAACTTCCGCCCTTTCCTTCTCCCTTCAAATAAGAAAACGGCAGCATCTCTTATGCTGTGGCTTTGTCTTTAACATAGCCCACCTTTGTATATAGGTGGAAAAAATACTAATTTCCTAGCATCTATATATAGTGCATTTTTAAATCAGCAGGCAATCATGGGAAATTAAGAAATGAAAAGCAAGCTTTAAGCTTAAAATTGAACACTGTTGGTGATTGTAGCAAGTAATTTCACAAGCAGTAGAACTGGTGAGGCCTCAGTATTTTCAGTTGATTAATTTTTCATTTTTCAACTTGCACCAAATAAAGCTTTTCTCATGTGATTGGGTATTTACAAAAGGCTCTCTTATGTCAGTTCTGTCAAATAATGTGAAATCTTGCTTTAGTTTTTCCTGTCTGTGGAGCAATCAGTCTGTCTTCTGAAAATAATGTCCTGTAAATGGCATCAAAATTAGAAGATTGTTTCCAGCTGCTTAACTTGTTGAAATCAGCCAGCAAACTTCTGAAGTTCTGTGTTTCTTCTTTCTATGGGAAACTAGTTTAAAATCCTGCCTGTAGCATCTGCAGATAACTTTTTGCGATAGAAGATTGTCTTTAAAGATAAGATTATTAGTAATTTGTTAAATGTATCTTTAACAGCTATAATAACTTTAAAAATTGAAGTAATTGCAGTTTACTCAAATTGCAAATAAATGAGTATCCAAATCCCCAGTGGACGAACACTGTCACATGTCAGACTCATTGGTGAAGATTCTGGAAGCAACCTGGTGTGAAGACTGAAATTATGAGCCAGTCTGAGAGTTGCAAAATCTAACTTAGTAAAATCTAATTTTGCGGTCAAAATATTGTGGAGTCTTTGAAAAGTATTTTTATCTACGGAGAAGTGTGTGTGTACACTATCAAGATAGTATCAGCATACTCTTTTCCTTTTTTTGTATGATATGCAGTAACCGTAAATACCCTGATCCACTGTTCTTGAGGGGGAAAAGGCTAAAAAGTCGGATGCATCTGTTGTACTTCTGTTGTCTGGGGCTGTGGTCCTTGTGGTCCTGCAGATGAAGTGCAGGAAGCAAAAGCAGTCTGCCTTGAGTGTCACTAGTCTCTTCTCTCTCCTTGTGATTTTCCTTCCAATCTCCATCCCTTCCCATCTAAAACTGCAAGAGTAAGTAATTACAAGTTGACACTTGTGAATACTTATTGTGACCTTTAAAATTTGGTGAAAATGTTGATTTGCGTTCGTATTTGTTGCTGTTATGCCTGAATTGCACCTGAATCATGATACTAGATGCCCATGCCTAAGAGGGTTGGATTACCTGCTCTCCAGGGCTAGTAAATATTGTAGGATTCTGAACCTAGTTAAACTTGAGTTTTCTAAGTTTCTGTGAAAGTGTTGGGAAATATTTTTGTCTACTCTAGCAAATGCCTCTGCTACTTAAATGTCGAAATGGTTAGGGGAGCATACTTGCATGTTGTTTATGTGGCCTAATTAGGTAGGGATCATCTGAATAGTGGCAGGCTTATTCACTTCATTAAAAAGTACCATTGGAGGAGATTGCGGTGCATGCCTTCGGTAGGATTGCGTGGTGCTGAGAACATTCACCCTGGAAGTGGGTTATCAGCCCTTCCTAGCAGGAGGGGAACACGCTGTTCCCACATGGCAGGAGACATCCTCAGTGCCAAGAAAATAGCTACATTTTCTGTTGAAAGGGGACCACTCTGCAGAAGGGAAATGAAACTGCCAGAAAGAGCGAGCAGAGCTTGGTTGTGTAGGCCACCGAAGGCCTTCCCTTGAGAAGGGGAGGAGGTTCCAGCGCCTGGTCCCTGCAGCAGGTTTTGTTTATGTTTCTATATTAAGAGTGATGAGATAAAACACATAGCTGTGGTGAGCACTGCAGAAACACTTTTGGAAGCTCCATGTATTTGTGACACTGAAGATAAGGTAATTGTAGAACAACAGGAAGGTATTATCACTAACTCCAATTTTGTTTGCTTTGAATAACATGAGTTTATTAAAGTATTGACATTTAAATGTGTAATTGCTTAAACAGAAACTTTTTTTGAAATAATCTAAGATTTCGAGCGATATTTCTGCTTGCTGATCAGTGCTACATTTTGGTTTTTTTTCCTGCAGAATGGGAAAGAAATGTTAGCCACTGAGTTCTGCCTAATTGCCTAATTTTTTTGTGGATTAGTCCTGATTTCTTACAGAATTAGCCACCCTGCATTCTCACTTCTGCTTCTTATCTTTCTCATTCATGAGTCTTAATGAGTTTCCGTACCTTCTTCCATGACTCAGATAATACTAGGCTATTAGAGATTGCCTTCGTACTGAAGCTTCCTGTCCTTCTTGCGGTCAAGATTAGAGTTGCATCACTGAGCGTTTTCCACAGTGAAGTGGTACTTGACGTTAGCATGTCTCTGTTCCTGAACCCTGCAGTCTGAGGAAGACTATTACCACTGGTTTTTAATGTCAATGAATAGCAACAACCCTTCATTCTTGAACAGTCACGCTAGAAGCAAACTGCGGGCTATCTTCCTGGTCTTGTATCAAAGAATAAATGAGGGACCCAGGAGCACCTAACGTCACCTGATCAGGCTTCAACCTGATGTTGGCTTAGCCATAATAAGGATTTCCACCATAGTAGGTCTTAACAAATGCCTACCACAGGTACCTTCTCACCAGCTGTAGTATTGATCAAGGCAACACTTCCAGGTACCTACTTTAAGGAAAAGATAATAGAAATACTGATTTCTGTTCTTACAGGGTTTGAATTGCACATGACTGTTCAGCACAGTTGGTTTTTTTCTACAGAAATCTTAAGGTACCTAATTGCATTCACTGTGACTTTCAGGCCAAAAGTCTTCAGACTGACTTCGTGAAGAAGCTACAGGCATTCTAGCACCATGGTTTTTTTCAAGAGGTTACTCTGCTTGGAAGCAATTGCCGCTACTTGTATTACATTACAGGGCAAGGTCTTTTTTTTCCCCAGTTTTATTTGTAAGATACTTCCAGGGGCTGGGAAGGATAACTGTCATGTGTGATTAAATTACATACATATGCAGGGTTCTGCACCTGTATTGGAAAAACGATGACTCTTAAAATTGGAAAAAGAATGAAAATCACTGCTAGTGTGGCTTCAGTAGTACTGTCAACATGTAAGACATAACAATACTGAACCGTTGGAAGAATACATTAAACGTAGCTGCATTTTTATAAGCGCTAAAATGGGAGTGATTAAGCACTGGAACAGGTTCCCCAGAGGTGATTTGCAGCCTTTAAACTTAACTGGACAGGACCTTGAGCAACTTGAACTTTAGGCTTTTAATTACGCTTGCTGTGAGCCGGAGGTTGGACAGGAAGACTTATAGAAGTCATGTCCAACCAGAGTAATTTTATGAGTCTTTGATCTTTGCACCACAAGCAGTGGTCAGCTGTACGTGAACGCTATAAAAACCATCCCGATGGATCTTGAAATGATTTCTGCTCTGGTGTATGATGAGGTGGCTGAACATCCTCTTACAGTCTTACTCTTGCTACTGCTTTTTGTTGTGACTTTTGGCCCACTATATTTTAATGCCTGTAGTTTCCTGTAATTTCTTAGCTTTTCGCAATCCCTGTCAACCATAAGCAATCTAGTGCGATGGCTCTTTCTTGTAATGAGATGTGCCGCTGTCTGTGTTGGCTTGCTTTACTGTTTTTGAGAAACACTGAGTTAAGGCAAGTCATTAACTTGTCAGGTTACTGCAGCAAGTACTCACACCAGAGTACACAGCTGTCTGCTGCCCAGTTGGAAACTATCAGTGGCTGCTGTGATCACATTCTACAAATGTGCGATGACTAGTCGTGGATACCTTTTGCAGGCAGAAGATGTTTTCGTGAGCCTTTTTTTGATACCACATGTCCTGCAGTATGTGTGTCTGAGGATGAGACCAGCTCTGCCAGCGAGGCATCCAGCATACAGCTGATGACACCAGACTTACTGCTTCATAGCTCATCAGTTTGAGGGGTGTGACAAGTCCCTGGAATCCATGGCATCTCCTCCAGCCGGATACTGACTGTGGAACAAATAAAGGGAGCTGCGAGGGGTTGATTCTCATCTCCATGGCCCATCAGTTTTTGGTGGGCTACCTTATTTCTTTCCCCTGTGCACCTTTTGCAAATGTATAGACATATAAAAAGGATAAGATCCTCGCCAAAGCTGTTAAGCAAAACAGTAGCGGCAACTTCAAAATCTTCCTCCTGAAAATACAGTAATAACTTTAGGTATTAAGTAACAAATCAACTTACTATGTCTCAGAAAAAGTGCACCAATTACATTGAGTATTTAATGGTAGTCCTGTTCAGTTCTATCTGTAAAATTGGTAGCGTGACCTCTTGTGAAGAAATACTTACATATAGTTTTAAAGAACCCATACTTTTAAATGCAACGTTCTCTTCATGAATGCTGTGAGAAACTGAGCTGGGTATATTCATTGGCTTTAAAATAGACAAAGTGAATGCTCATTCAGAAAATGCAGTAGAATAATCAAAATTATGATATTTGCATAAAGGTTCTCAGATGCTGCAATTCTGTAATTAAAGTAGGAATTTTTTTTAATTGAATTTATGCAGCTGGGATTCATAATGAATAGCAATAGATGAAGTTAATGGTTCAGATATTTTCTCAAGTTTCAATTTTTGCTGATAAGTTTGTAAGTTTTCAAAGGCTGTGGATGATTAAATATTTTTGCCACTTGTCTTCCAGAAGCTGAATAGCAAAAAACGTGGCACCACTGCTCTGCATGATGAAAATGAACAGTGGCTGAAGTAAAAGGAGCTGGATTTTATTGTCCTTTCTCTTCACAAAAATACACTTTGTATTTTTTCCTGCATTGTCCTTTTAATAAAACAATGATAGTGGTGTAACAGTGGAATTTGTAAGTTTGTATTCTAACATGTGCAAGCCTCATTGCAGTCTGTTAGCACTAGGAATTCGCACGATGCTAACGAGTAAGTTAAAATGTGGTTGAACTCTAAACTTGGTAGGCCTCAAGACAGCACCTTTAGATTCAGTGAAATTGTTCTCTAACTTGTAAATTAAGCTCTACTCATGGAGTATCCAAGTGTACATTGAATCTATTATGATTATGCAGAACGAGGACACACTCTTTTTGTGTAATATTCTTCTGTCTGTTCGTGGGGTAGGTGCTGGTTCAAGGTTCTATACACAGTCATCATTGAGTTACAACAATTACTGGTTTACCCAGATAATCCAGTTGGTGCTTTTGCTGGTAGATATGATAGGAAGCAACGCATAGGGATCCCATTCTTGACGCAGATCGCTGTCTTCTGTGCCTTGAATTTAAGTTGCGTAATTCCTGCCAAGACCACTCATTTCTGTGGGTGGTTAGTGGAGCTGGACTTGTTTTGGGGGGTTGAGAAGGCTTCTTGCATGGGCAGTGGGATGACTGCTGTGGTTGAATGCGATGCCTCCATGACAACTGTAGAGTGGCTCTCCTGTGCTCCTTTTTGTTGTCTTGTGTCTACAAGATTATTGGTTTAACAATGAGATGATACTGGAGAAATGAGAGAAAAGGCTGTTAGCAGAAGTTTTGAACAAAATCTGGCCAGTTGTGCTTAAAATTAAGTCTTGCCTGTTGCAACGTAAGGGGAAAAATGGCATCTCTTATACATGCAATTTAATGTCAGCTAACTGTTCTGTTGTGGTAGTATGGCTAATTCAGGGGTCCCTTTTTACTCCTCTGACAAGTTCAGATATGATTAAATTATTTGTATTACTCTGTTAGGTTACCAGAGAGATTAGTAGTCAGTCTGACAACTTTTGAAGAGGTAGTTGTAAAGAGGAACAGAATTCTGTCTTGGCTTGTGAAAGTTACATCACACTTCTTGGGCAAAGGTTGTAAAGCTTCCCCAAGGAGGAGCTGTCAGTCTGGCTATATTACTTTGACTCTATTTTAACAAAATTGGAAGGTTTGTTTTTTTAAAAAAAAAATTAATTTTTTTTTTTTTTTTTAAATCCCATGAAACGTAGGTTATTCTTTTGGTTACTTTAAACCAGTTGAAAAGTGTGACATGGGTGAATACTGGTGTTTAGTGGGTAATCTTACAATGCAAGAAGACATGCCTGTGTGTTAGATGTCAGCTGTTTTGGTAAGTAGTCGGTGTTGGTGAAGGCAAAGTAAGGCTTGTAGAGGGGGTTTGGAAAACCTAATATTGGAGCCCATTATTCAGACTAGAAATGGAGAACAAAACAGAAAACAGTATAATTGTGACCCCAGGCTAACAAACTGGATTCATACAGCGTAAGTCTCATACCTAATCATAGAAGGATGTAGTAGGACTAGGTAAGATCCATATGAGAGTCACAGGGCTAAAGTATAGAGGCTTGTAGAGGGGGTTTGGAAAACCTAATATTGGAGCCCATTATTCAGACTAGAAATGGAGAACAAAACAGAAAACAGTATAATTGTGACCCCAGGCTAACAAACTGGATTCATACAGCGTAAGTCTCATACCTAATCATAGAAGGATGTAGTAGGACTAGGTAAGATCCATATGAGAGTCACAGGGCTAAAGTATAGAATGTTTTGGCCATATGAGAGTCACAGGGCTAATTAAAGTATAGAATGTTTTGGGTTGTTTGTTTTTTTTTTTTCTTGGTACAAGAATGACTTAAAACTAGTATCGCTTCCTAAACAGCAGAGAACTTACAGGGCAAAGAAGTGTGACAGATACCTATAAAAGCATGTGTTGCATGGAAAGCTGAGCATGAAACTATTAACACCGTCTCCTAGTGTAAGAACAAAGAGGGACAGTCAACTGAAACTAGCAGGTGGCAAACTTTTATCTAAAAGTAACTAACTATTCACACAGTGCATAAGTGAACTGTGAAATACAGCCCTGCCCAGTGTTGTGATGCCCAGATGTTCACATGGGTCTGAAGAGTGATTAGAGAAATTCAGAAAGGGAAAAATCCAACGTGCCGTAAAACACATATGCTGGCTCAGGGGGAGCTTTGAGCTCCAACGTGCAAGTTGCTGGGGGTATACGCCCATAATGTAACAGTGTGCTCTTGTTTTCTTACCTAAGCATTTGGTGGTGTTGGAGAGTAGATCCTGGGCTAGGTAGCCTCTGGTCTGATCCATTACTGGGCTTTTAAGCTTGATGTCCTTACGACTTGGCAGTGTAAATATATTCTTCAAAGGCTTCAATTTTCATTCCCTCATAGGACTCTTAAGGTAGAGCACATACATACTAGGAAATATGCTGAGGAACATTCCTGGTGGCTGAAGCAATCTGCTGTGGAATAATCTTCATCTCTCATTAAAATCTCTCGATTTGAAAACAGGACAATTTCAAGTTGCCAGCTGGGAATGAGCCTAGCTCATGTGAATTCTCAAACCATGCCCAAGAATTTTAGGAGTCTGCTAGTTGGCATAGGCTAAAATCATACCAGAGACCATTTCAACAATTAAGCAATGTAGACAGTTGCATTGCAGTACCTGGGAGTGTTTCCAGGCACTGTGCAATTTACAGTTCCAGCCTGAGTATTGCATTTCTATCCAGTTTGAAGCACTGAACAGAAAGAAATTTAGTTGCAGAGTAGGGCTTCTCTGTGTGACCATCATAGTTTCTGGTCTGCCTCTTAACACACAAAGTCTCTTTGCTGATTTTTATGAGCAAGAACAAAAAGTTCAATTGGGTTCTTAAGCTGTCTAAATCTTGTGTAGAAGTGAAAATCTGAAGCATAGAAGTGATTTGGGGTCATTTGAATGTTAATGTGTTACCATCTGGGAAATCGCCAAAGTTGCTGCCTAGAACAAGGAAGAAATTTGAGAGATGGTTTGATGAAAGATGAAATGTAGAGTTTGTGATTTTTACCTTAAAAGTAATAGCTACCTTTTTCTTTTTAGACGATGTCTTCAGCAGTTGTTCAAATATATGCAGCAGATCGCAATGCCATGTGGTCAAAGAAATGCTGTGGTGTAGCTTGCCTTGTAAAGGACAATCCACAGAGGTCATATTTTATCAGAATATTTGACATTAAGGTAAGCATCTTTTTTTTCTTTTTCAGACTCTTTAAGCTTGGTTGTATTCATTCTCCATTTTGAATTGAATGAGTATATGTTGTCGCAGCTATAAATTCAGAAATTCTCAAGTAAATGGTTGTGCTTTAAGTGGTGTGATTACAGTGCTTACTAATAGGCAAGTGCAACTTTCTCAGGTGTTCTAAATTTAAATTATTTTGTGGATGAAATAAATATCAAATACAATTTTCTTACAGCTCACAGAAGCTGTCCTCTACGGATCTGATTAGTCAAACTAGTGAAAGTTAATGTAGTGTGACTGATACAGATAGCTGTCAAAATTCTAGTGGGTGTCACTACTTTGGATGGTATTAAAACAGATGTCATTTTCTGTATGGATGGAAACAACCTTTTCGATTAGTGTACTGATGCATGTGAAAACTGCAGGAGAAAGGAATTGGTTTTGTTTTGGTTTTTTTTCTCCACAATGTATACATTCATACTGAAGGTCTTTATTCTGTTACAATATTTCACTCAAGACAATGGGAACTAAGAGATGAAGGGTCCGGGATGTGTTTTTGTAACAAAAGTGATACTGAGAAGCATAAGTCCTACTGACTTTGCTGAGACTCTGGAAAGCTTCCTATTATCTGTGCAGCCGGGAACAGCTCATTATCTGTCAGCATTCAGTGCTTGAAGTCTCTGGGATCTGTTCAGGATAGTCAGGTGGTGCTTGCATTCGACTTTGATGTGGTCACTTGACTGTTAGACTTAGTGAGAAACCTGTTCCTTGGGTGCTGAGCTGTAATGCCATTTAAATACATAAAACTTCTTAAAAAGGTGAGATTTTTGTTCCCTTTAACTGTTTCCAAGTCAAGCCTGGGGTAATAACAGGAGACTGGAAGTCTCCTTTATTGCTATTGCTGCTACCACTTTTCCTATCACTGGTCACTATTACTGCTCTCAGTTATCACTGTTGCAGGACTGTAGAACGTGAAGGATGTTTTTTGAAAACATCCAGGAATTTATTCCATCAGGTCACTGCATTCTATTTAGTCTTCCACAGCTCTTCCACAAGTTCCAGTATATTTTGACTTTGAGCTCGTTTGTTGAGTTAATAGCAAGGTGTAGATGCTTAACACCATGTAGCTTCCAACTTTTAGTAGGTTCTGTTGTGAAATATCTCTAAGTTTTTCAAAATCTTTTTTTTTCTTCTTTTCAGGATGGGAAATTATTGTGGGAGCAGGAGCTGTACAATAACTTTGTATATAATAGTCCTAGAGGATATTTTCATACCTTTGCTGGAGATGTGAGTCTCAATGTCTTTGAATACCTATTTTAAAATGCCTTTTATTTGAACAGTAGCTTCTTTTAATATAACTGAGGCTTTTATTTCATTCTGTAAATTATTTATTAAAAGTACAATATTGCCTGTGTTCCTTGAAGCTTTTTGAGCTTATTTATAAAAGGATTTTTTTTGTATCTCAACTTAAATTTAATCCATAGGGCAGAAGCATAAAATGCAGTTCTTCATTTTCAACTCCCCTTAATGAAATTACATTTTGACTTGCAGATGATGTTTGTGAAGTATCATATATTCTTAAAGCACAAATTTTCCTCTCCCTGCTTTGATTTCAAGCTACAAGATTTTGCTCGTTTGTTAGCCATGATCTATAGAAACTTGATTAGTAGACGGACATTCCTAAGATAGAACGTTTCGCTAAGCATTGGTTCCAAGTTTGCAGTGATAATTTTTTTCTGATTATACCTTCAGAAGGTATAAGATGACATTTAAGAAAGCCTTTGAAACATTTTCTTAGTCATGGCTGGGGGAATATTAATGTTTTTCAGACATGTCAAGTTGGTCTAAATTTTGCTAATGAAGAAGAAGCTAAACTATTCCGCAAAACAGTAACAGATTTACTTGGACGACGGCAGAGAAAATCTGGTAAATATTCAAATTAATCTTAAAATCAGGCTTATTTATGTTGTTTTGGGGGGAGGTAGGAAGCCATTTCTATGTCTGAAAGCTACTGGGGGCATTACAGCCGTATTTATATTTAGAAGTGATTGTGTTATTAAGCCATGCTTCTTTATTGTGCAAAAATAGTATTTTTCTGAAATAACTTAACTTGGTGCTCCTCGCTGTAAGTTTCCTTGTAAGCTGAGACTCCAAGGTTGTGGTGTTTGAAAGTATAGATCCAGGAGGAAGCAAAACCAGTAAGATGTCGGTAGGAAAACTAGAAATCTTTCTGCAAGTTATTTTCACGTTTGAGTAAACCCTTTTTTAGCTCTGGGCTCTTGATTTGTTTAAATTCAGCCCAAGTGGGTTGTAACAAAGATTTTACCATCTGGTATGTTCAGTAGTTCATGTGAATGAATTTTTGGCATTGGTTCAGTGTTTAGTAGAGAAATATCTTTTATTCAAAACTAATGATCTTGGCAGAGGCCAAGAAAGAAGACATAGTGTGCCTATACTGTCCTCAGCAGCACAGGACAGTCTGAAGCACAGCATGCTTTTTGCCAGCTGCAAGATGCCGTAGGAACATGGTCAGTGTTTTAAAGGGAGCTCAGGCTTCCTGCAGATCTTGTCTTGGTCCTTTTCCAGGGAGTCCATAAACAACTTGCCTGTCCGATAGCCGTATGTCCGTGAAGGAAATGGTGATATAAAACATAGGCTGGGAGCACATGGATGTGCTCAGGCATGCTGTTAAGCTGTAACATGGTCTTGTATTGAAGCTACAGGATGAGTTTCTGTAGTCCACTCTGGAAGTGTCCTCCAGTCATGAAGGACAAAGGAGTCCAGGAAGGTTGGATATGCTTTAAAAAGGAATTACTTAATATTCAGGAACAAGTCATCATTGTGTGTAGAAAGACAAGTCTTCAGGGGGGAAAAAGGCTAGCCTGGTTAGACAGAGAACTTAGGCTGGAGCTTAGGGATAAAAAGAGAATATATTGTCTCTGGAAGGGAGGTCAGGTAACTTGGGAGGAATATAGGGATGTTGTGAGGTCATGTAGGGAGAAGATTAGAAGGGCCAACGCTGAATTAAAACTTGATTTGGCCACTGCAGTTAAAGATAATTTTAAAAGTTTCTATAAGTACATTGGCAGCAAAAGGAGAGTCAGGGAGGGTCTCCCATTTGCTGAATGCAAAGGGTAGTGTAGTGACAGGGGATGATGAAAAAGGTGAAGTGCTCAATACCTTCTTTGCCTCAGTTTTTAATACCAAGACCAGTTGTCCTCAGGACACCCAACCGCCAGAACCAGATGTTAAGGCCAGGGAGCTGAGTGAA